CTAGACTCTCAGGCTAGCCGTCTTTAAGTACGACTAACCACTTCGTTTCCGCATTTTATAAGCTACCAATTCATACAAAAGACGGAGGGGGAGGAGTTCCGCAGAGGCAGAGGGCGGGCACTTATTGTGACAAGGTCCACTGAGCAAACTATTACTATTCAAGAGTTGGTGCACTCACAGAAAATCCAATTGATGACTTACATTTTGGTAAATCTGACGACTAGGTGAGCTAACTTTTAGAGCAAAGCACGTTTGACACTCCAGTCAAGGACAAATTTGAGTCATGTGGAATCCGCCATTACCTTCAAGGCTTCTTCTGTCGACTATTGAGGATATAGTGGGCTTCCATTTTGGAAGGAGGGGAGAGGTCCAAAAACAATCAAATGCCAACAAAAGGAGGATGCAGGGTGGGGGGCTCTAAATAGAATCTCTAGATCTAGATAAATGGCCACTTTCCATTTCCCTCCTTGTGTTTTTTATAATTTAATTTAACAGTGTAAAACGGTCCAACGCGGCCGCAGCATCTTATTTTATCTACCCACAGTCAAATTTACCTGCCTCAGGCGGGCAGGCATGGTCACTCATTGCCGACGCTTTGTCATAAATTTTTAATCCGCCCCTCACTCTTTGGACGTGCAGTCATAATTCATTAACATGTCATTATTGTAAGTCCCTCCAGTGAATGTTTGCCGCCAAGTTGACCAATGGGTAGGCTTAACAATAACTTTTCAACTGCTTGTGAGGGAAGCATGGTCCGTCATAACCTATAATTATAAGCCCGCCCACAACTCATGCAAATCGTGTGTGAGGTGACTGATCACTGTTTTGTTTACATCTAATCCTTAACAAAGTAACGATGGACGTTGACGTGAATTTAAGACAGAAGCATCGTTCGTTCTCTGAGTGGTGGTGACCCATGTGTTTGTTTTACCATGGCTCTCGGTCTTCATCATCTTAATTACAATATTTAATTTATTTTACCCATGCACAAATTCAGCAACAAAAAGAAAGCTTGCCAAAAAATAAACCAACAAAAAACCCTTTTGAATTAGCCTCTAAAGTCTGAGATCAGCCCCGATTTGGACATGCGGGAGACAATGATTTGCTTTTTTCACGTTGACCAGTCCTGCCTAAGACAGCCACCTGTGTTATACGGCCATTTTGCTCCTTGACAATGGGCGGTCGTTTTACACAGGTATGACTATATATAGAGCCTTATTAATTGTGTATGCTTAGCAATTTTCGTGATCTTTGTAGACCAATCCTAGGGAGAGGGGGGTGTCCTTTTCAGGGGCTGTGCCCCCTTGAGATTTAAAAAAAAAATGTTTAAGGGGGCCCGATACTTGTGGGACAACATTTTTAACTAAAGACAAACTGAAACAACTTTTGTCACAGGCAGTAAGTATGAGACAAAAGTGTGATAGTGATCGCAGTGAAAAATATGCCTGTTTGACCCCCAATGGACAAAATCAGTGAATCTGTGTGTAGGAGTGAATAGAGTGAATATAAAAACTTGCTGGATAGGCCTCCTGTATACACTCATTATACTCCGTTGTGTACCAAGTACCATGTCTTTATAATATTTTATATCTGCAGTGTCTCATTACAGGCTGATAACCTGAGGCATTAGCCACATTTTGGCAACATCCGCCCCAACAGAATACTGAAATTGGAATATCGATTGTGACTTATGGGATAGGAGTAGGGTTAACAGTAATTCGGGGTTAGGGTTGTGATAATTAAGTTAGACTTGATCTTTAGAGCCAAAACTGGATATGAAAGTATTATCCCCGTATTTTCAACCCAAATGCTTATAATATGTTAAAATATTATAACACTACAATCCTGTCTCTTTAGATTATAAGTTAGAGCATAGATAGGATATTACGCACATATATATGATTAACAAAATGATAGCAATAATAATGTGCCATTATTTAGGGGTTTCAAACTTCATTTTTACGGCTTTTCTGTAATTAACCATATTTATTACAAGGAGCTTGTTAGTTGATAGTTTCCTTTTTCTGTCCATACATCCATTTGATGATAGGGTACCTTTGTTTGAAAGTGACTGATTCGGGCAGCAGTGACAATAAAATGTAGCTTCAACCACATTGTCACTGCATGTAAGCCGCTTTACTTTGACATAAGGCCTGAATAAGGAATCACAAAAAGCTTTCCTGCAACATAAAGTAGGCTACATAAGCAGAGGGCAAATATTGTCGACAGTAGGACTGTATCACACAGATGTGACATGAGATTCAAAACACACATTACAGGTGTGTATATCTGCCCTCTTGAGATCGCAGGGGATTTCTACTCATGGAAACGCCTCGGACAGAGCTATGTATACATTTTGTATGTGTATTTATGGTGTGTGTAACTAGTGAATTTTCAGTTTGTTCATTCATACTACTGTTGAAATAAAGAGAAAGGTGGCTGCTTCTTATAGTGGGAGTATAGATATTATTCATAATCTCTACTTTTATTGTGGGCTCCTGAAAATCTATGTACACTTCTAAGATTAAAATTCTATGACTTTCACCCCATTTTGTATTTTCCAGATGATCAATGGATGCCAAAAAGTCAAAACCATCTGGAAAATGGGCACTTATTGACCCTTCAACCACAGATTTGGTAAGAAATTCAGTTTTTTAAATATTTTACATGTGCGGGAGAGATCAGGGCTGTGCAATTTCATCAAGCTTGATTTTTATTTATCTCAGAAATAATTAGACATGGTATCTTTTGCCATCCCACACATGTATATATATACAATAGTTTCCGCCTAAGATCCCACCGCCTAAGATCCCACCTCCTAAGATCCCTCTGTTTTGGAAAAACAGAATTTTTACTGTATTAAAGTCTCCCCTTAGATCATGTTCTGACCCACATTGAAGGAGCATAATTTAGTTCCTTTTTCTTTTTTTTATTAAGAAAAAAAAAAAAAGAAACCTAGGTGCGCTCAGCTGATCGACCAAATAGCGAAAATATGCGATCATTGTATGATCATTCGCATCACGGATCATCCACTGCCGTGAACATGATCCCCCTCTGTTGTAAATCTCGATAAGTTGTTACAATTATCCAAAAAGAGTAAAAACACTAAAGAGGCTCGGGGCTTCAGAAAGTGAACAATTATAGCTCGTCTAGTATGTTTTAAGCCATATATACGTTTGTACAAAGGTTTTACTGTAATTTGTTTGGTTTGAGCTGTGCATAAATGAATGTCTGTTGCAAGAAAATAGAAATACTTACCCTTGAGTCATGATGCAATTACTACTGGCAAGGATCATTTGAAGTTCTTGTTAACTGTACAAAATAGATTTCGAACATCATAATTATATATAGTAACTTAATAGATGCCCAGCTGGTCATGGTAGCACACATGCCATTGTAGCACATTCTGCTTACATACTTGACCAGAAGATGGAAGTTTCTGGGCTTGGGTCGATAATGAGTGAACATTATTCTTCATTCGTCACGGAATATTTTTACTTTGAGCCAGGTGTTGTGACGAGGAGACCAAGTGTTCTGCCTTTGAAATGGCCTGAATTGTCTCTATATTAGTAGAGCATTGTCGCTCTCTATCTTTATTCACTGTTGCAGCCTGTTTTTCCATTGATTTCCAATAGTAGGCCTATGCTATTTCATACACCAGTTTCCTACATCCATCTGGTGTGTATTCTAATAAGCTCTATTACAATGGCAAATAAAATAAATTATATAGCCACTTATATCAAAGCATAAAGTCATTGACCTGGTAGCTTATCAGACCCTTGAACTGAGTGGACTACTTGACCCCTCTATCACCAGTTACAGCTCCGGCCACATGTGCGCCTCAACACATTCTGATTCTTATGTTGTGGTCCATGGTGTGGAAGACTGTGGAACTGTTCTTCCCACATTGATGTATTTCTCTGTTACATTTTAAAAAGTGGCAAATTTATTCATGTAATATTTTGTGCACATTGTTAATAATAAATAAAACAACAAATATAAAGATAAGTCTACTTTGTTGGAGGTTAAGTTGTTATTTAATTAACTTGTTTTTTTCATTTTCTGAAAACTATTTAATCTTGAACACACTTGGGGGGGTTTTTGTGTTGCTTTTTTCTCAAAACTGAAATTTAATTTAGTGAAGAAAAAAAACTTAACTTAGAAAATTGGAGGTTTTTAGGAGGAGTTTTGAAAATTTTGTCTAAACAAATTCAGTTGTTGATTTTATTGATTCAGTTTCAGTTTAAGCTTGTGTAGAACAGAGTGCCTTGTTCAAGTGCCTGATAAAGAATATGAAAGTGTCTTTTCTTTGAATCATTAACTGGTCTTTATTTTGGGGAGAGGGTTAAAAGTAGGAAAAGACTCTTGAAATCTCATTTAAAAAACAGCAACTAGTCACCGAATTCAGCTCTTGGAAGATGGAAGATCAAGAAGATGAAAGACGAAGCATCAGTGAGATGATTTGTGTACGTATTCTTGGGATGTTTAGGAACAATTTGATTGCAGTATACATTTTTTTTCTTCATTTGAACTAATGATGTCCTGATTTTGTTTGATAATATTTGTGTTTTACTAGTAGGTCTGACCCCCGTGAAAAAAAAGGGGGAAGGGTGTCTTACTCTAAGAGGGATCATTGTAACTTTTCTATCGCTCACAAGTGGATTCATTGTAAAATGAATTGTTTTTATCAAACAGTTGTATTTTTTTCTTCTCCTCTTTATTGCGCAAGAGTTCAGTGGCAAAGGAGGCAATGCGTTATCTGTCAGTTCTTATTAATATCCAACATTTATAAAGTGAGAGAATCTTTTAAAAATAGACATAGTAGAGACGTTTTGTCCAACTGTTCAAAAAGGATTTATTTTCCAATGTAATGACATCCGACTCTCGCAAGACAGTTTATTACAAGTTTCAGGACATAGAAAACTTGTTTATTAGCTCAGACTCTGAGTGAGAATGCAGGTAAGGGATATAGCTCATTTTTATGATTTTAGCATATGGGTATAGTCATAGAAGTTGTTTTTCTATTTTGAAATATTTGAGCCCTTGCCACAGCATAAAACTGCCCTTTTGCTTAGCCACCAGTACACTGGTGAGTGAGACCCTATCTTCAACCTGACATGTCTAGTGCTAAATGCACATGGAAAACAGTGTTCACTGCTCAGGATGTTATTAATTATTTTGAAGACCTTTCTGAATTAGATAATGACGAGGACTACCCTGAGTGGAATATGGAAAGTGATTCTGACGATCTTATAAATGTTAGTAATATATCTCTCAGGAGCTCAAGCAAAGGGGCATGGTAGCGTCAGGCAGTCAGGAGTCAAAGTGTTAAGGCGAGCTCATAACCACATAAATAAACAAAGGCTTTTCCCTTTTGTTGACAGGCCATGAGGATGTCCTCGCAGGAGTCGGTGACCACCCAGCTGTCCACGTCCACCATCCCCCACGAGGAATCTGTGCTGGAGCTCTACTTCTACCTCCTCAGTCAGACAAACTTCGACAAGGCCAAGGACCTCGTGGTCAGTTGCTTCAACCTGTTGTGTGGGTGGTTGGCGGGTTCTCTGGTGTGGTTTGCTTCTTCTTTCCTATCAAACATCTATTGTCCTTATCTCCCCTCCTTCTTTTTTATGTTTGTTACTCTCTTGTAACACCTCTAAACTTCTGGCACTCATATGTCCTTATGCAGTTGCCATCTCTCTAAAACCTCTACTAAAACAAAACGAACAACCTGTTGTTTCACTTCCCACCCATCAATATGTTTTGCTCCCTGCTTCAGATGAATGAAGTCAAAATTGTCCAAGACAGCCACTTAGTGTTGAAGAGAAAAGTTGTTGTCTTAGACAGGTGGACAGTTTCATTTTAATAGAAAAAAAACTCAAGGGGGAAATAGGGAGTAGTTTATGTACAGGTGATTGTCTTGGACAGATGGCCGTTAGAGAAGGTTTGACTGTATATGTGGTATGGTTTGGGGTTTCACTTATTCATCACTACAGATTGCACACAGTGCACCACTTGGTGCCTGAACACGCATAGGAATCACCGGTTGATTCGCAACCCCAGGCACAACTTTTAAACAAAATTGCAACTTCTTTGAAAGGGCCAAATCAAAAGATGCACATGTGACATAAAGGCTATATTGCTTGTATTTACTACACATGCAGAGCAAACAAGAATTGTTTTGTTTGCAACAAGGGATCTTTAACATGCGCTACGTGCATGCGGGACCTCCGAGATTTTTCGCCCTCAGCCGAGAAGGCTAGGTGTTAGATCTTACCTACCATAAGATCAGAGGTGTGGCTAAAAGACTTCAGTAAGAAAGAACCAGGAGAGCAGTAGAAAGAGTCAAGTGTAAAGGGTAGAGGAGCCCAGAGGAGGCCGGAGGTAGGGGGGTGGGGTGGAGTGGAGATGAAAGCTGGTGACAGAACAGAACTAGAGAACCGGGAAGGAGAAGAAAGAAGAACATTTTAGAGAAGTACATTTTTCAACACTGTCAGTGTCAGGTTTCAAACCCTTGACCTATTGAATGAGAAAGGTGAACACCATACCTCTACAACACCAATAGACCCCCCCCCCCCTTCCCATTCCAGTTGAGTGATGAACGACAATAACGTCCATAATTTATTTTTTTTACATCAGGATACTGAGAAAGATGGTCACAAGTTCAGCGTGGTGCCCACCTGGGGTGAGATTCTCCAGTGTCTGTCTCAGCTGGCGACTGCTGAACGCAACTACGCCAATCTTGTCTTTCTGGGACAGAAAAGGTTCACACATATTGTACGCACGAAAGATGTAAGTATTGTCATAAGTAATTTTCTTCGAAGCCTGCTTTCCCTCTCTATCTCTCCATTTCTGTATCTGTGCCTCTGTCTCTCTCTCTCCCTGTCTCTGTTGTCTGTCTCTCTCTCTTTCTCTCTTTCTCTCTCTCTCTCTCTATTCTCTCTCTCTCTCTCTCTCTCTCTCTCTCTCCCAATCTTTCACTCTCTGTCTGTCTGTCTCTTTCTCTATCTCCCCCTCCCCACATCTTCAACAATATATCGTTTGAAATTCCTTATGCCAAGTGTTCTTAGAGTGCTAATTTTATCAATATGTTTCTTGTAGCTATGCTATGCGTGCCTGTGCATTGTTATTTCCTTGGGGGACCGTTATTCAGGGAGTGTTTCTTGACCTAAAGGTTTAAACTTATAATAGTTGTATGGGGGGTTTTTTATGTATCGGTTTGAGACAAATAGATATGCATTTGTTTCGTAATTTTCCATAATGCCAAATCTTATGGATTTTTGTTTATTGTGGCTATGTATGCTTCCATATTGTAATTTATTTTATACCTGTCATTCACTGTGTGTGTGTTGTGGAAAAACATGTTCAATGTATGTATACAACTGAAGGCCCCGAGGGAAAACAGGAGATGTCACTTTTTGTCATTTTGAGAAAAACGCAAATGAAATGCTTGACAGCCCACATATTTTCAAATAGTAAAGCTTGTTTTCCAAGTCTGATACTGGATGACTCATCTGGTTTTAGCCCCGGACACTTAGATGGGCCAGAAGAAGTACGTCAACTCTTTCCAACCCATGTCAAAACTCAAATTAACTAAAAACTGTCACGTGTTGTTTTTTCCCCTCATGCCTTTCAACTGTTTTGTGATTTCTCAGAGTGCCAAGTCCATCTACGCCATGTTGTTGCAAGAGTTCCAGCGAATGGAGAATATGTTGACCCCTCTGGGTCGAAGTTCATCCCACTCGTCCGATGCCTCAGGGGGGATGATGACCCAGCAGGAAATGGAGCAGCTCTTGGCTCACATCAGTGGACAGCTCTACTTCTTCATCTTTGCCAGGATCAAAATGATTGACTTGTATCCTTTTTTTCTTTTAAGTTGTTAGTTTTTTTAGTAAGAGTTTTACGGACCTTGCAACACATAATATAAGGTCATAATATAGGTCCTGAAGATTAGACATTGGTTATCTCAGTGTGAAGCTGGAGTCAAATTGACTGCTAAGTGTAAGACTCTGCCGTAAGCCATTTGTGTCACGACGCTGTGGAATCAGGCTCTCGTCAATTTTTGGGCATGTAGAGTTATTGGTATCATCTTAAAGCTTGTTCATATATTTTGCTTTGGATGAAAAAAATGTTCATTTATCTTGAAAACAAGTTGAGATATTTATTTGCGAATGAAAGAGGTGGGGGTCACCTGGTATCATGGGTAAAATTAGTGAGAAAATGGCCTCCAAAGATGAATTATTTCTTTAGCTTAAGAGTCCTTGGGAACTGAAAATTTACATTTTTTGGTACTTTTAATCAACGTTTTTCTGTAAAATCTTTAACTCTTCAAGTCCGTAGAGGATTTTCGTTCTGACTGAAGCCTCTCAGGGACTGATCCTATACAGCAGTTGGGGGGTAACAAAAGTCTATATAACTTTCAATCTACTAGGCCCACATCAAAACTTTTGGTATGTTTGTGTTCAGAAACGAAAGTTGCTTTTATTGGTGTTCATTTTAGATGCCTCTATTGAAGAATAAAAATAGACTATTGAAGTAAATGGCCATTAGCAAAAAAAATGGTGCAGTGTTACATAACACCGTTCACACAAATATGGGTGTAACTTTATAGTACTTGAACACTGAGCCTAAGTAAAAGAAGCAAAGATGCTGATGTACATTCTAGGATTACATCTATGGTGGCTGAGGTACTTTGAAGCCCTTCTTTTGAAATACATCAAAATAATAAAATGTATCAGAACCCACATTCGGCATGAAAAGTGAAAACACAGCTAGATCTAGATCTAGATTTCTATATGTACACACTTTGTTATACAATAAATCAAAGGCTTACATTTATAGTTTTGT